GGCGAGGAGGTGGCAGGGGGGGGGGGAAGAGGCCCAGGGCAGGGGGGTGCAGGTGGGGGACAGAGCTGGGGCAGCAGGGGAGAGCACAGGGCTGGGGTGGCAGGAGATGCGGGTGAGGGGAAGAGCCCAGGGCTGGGTGGCAGGAGATGCGGGTGAGGGGAAGAGCCCAGGGCTGGGGTGGGGGGCAGTAAAAAACCTAGAGCTGGCTCCCTCCCTACCATTCAGAGCAAGCTCCAGCATGAGGTTCCAGTTCCACACACCTTCCCCCTCCCTTTCCTGTTAATTGCCGCCGAGGGAATGCTGGGAAATGTAGTTCTTTCCCTGCTCCAGGGCTGGCTCTATAGGCAGGGAGCTAACTAAGGAACTACAGCTCCCAGGGCCCCCTGTTGATTCTCAGCTCCCAAGCTGGATTCTTGCGCCCCTGCAAATTTGCCGCCCCAAACACCTGCTTGCTTTGCTGGTGCCTAGAGCCGGCCTTGGGTCTGCATCCGCCCTGCTCGCTCTGAGCATCCCGGGGAGACTCTGGCTGGTCCTTGTGCGGCGTTCAGTCACAGCACCCTGCTTTGTAAGGCCTGCCCCCTGCCCCACCCCCCACACCCATTACAGTAGGACCTCAGAGTTGCGAACACCTCAGGAATGGAGGTGGTTTGTCACTCTGAACAAAACGTTACGGAGGTTCTTTCAAAAGTTTACCCCTGAACATTGAATTAATATAGCTTTGAAACGTTACTGTGCAGAAGCAAAATGCTGCTTTCCCTTTGTTTTTTGGTTGTGTACGTTTAGCACAGCACTGTACTGTTCTGTATGTGCTTGGTTTTGTTGTTTTTCTCTGCTGCTGAGGTGTGTGGTTAACGGCTCCGTGTGTAACTCTGGTGTTCGTAACGCTGAGGTTCTACCGTACTCTGACTCGGGTCAGCCCTTGCAGCTTGGTGGGTGGACGCTCTTATTTCAGTTTAAATCTCACTTGAATGTTTTAGCTTGTGCCAGTAAAGGGTACAGGCCGCCCCTTGTGGGACTAGCTACCCCAGTACAAGCCTAAACCTAGGCCTGCCAATTTTAATAGGCCATATTCCTGGAGCTTTCATCACATGACATAATCTTTAATTAAAGATTAATCGTCAATTCCTGAAGACTCTAAGCTAATCCTGGAGGGCTGGCAACCCTACTAAGCACCTTTTATACTGGCGTAACCACGTCCAGATTAGGGGGTGGTACGGCTTTAACTATCCCAGGGGAGCTAAACCCTTCCGTTTCTGTGTACAGATAAATCCAAAGGGAGTAGTGGTGGGAGGGAAACCAGGAGGAGGCTGCAGGCTGGAAATGCCCCAGAGTCTGGTTTGGGGGGCAGGAATAGATGAATGGAGCAGCAGGATCTCTGCCCCTCCTCCCCATGCACCATGGAGGGGGTTTCCAGTGGCAGTAAGTGATGCAGGGCCTGCAGCCAGCATTCCCCTGCTCACGCACTGGCTGCAAATGAGAATCAGCTCTAGAAACAGACACTGCATCATCAGGAACAAACAGGACCTTTAGCTTCAGTTGGGTCCCACTGACACTTTCATGGGTGGCAGCGTTACATGCCTGTGGCTGA